GGGTTTGGGGGGGTGGGGGGTTGTGTTGAGGAGAGGGGGGTGGGGGGGGTGTGGGGTGGGGGGCGGGGTGGGGGTTGGCTGTGGAAGCGCTGTTGAGGATTCGGCTGTACTCGGGGCGGGTTGAGAAGCAGTCTCTGCTGCGGGTTCCTGGGTGGCAGCTGGTGTGGGCAACTGTGGGACATTCGGAGCTTCAGTGACGGGCGCATGCGAGGTCTCGAGTTGAGTCTGTGAAGTTTGCGATTCGGCAGTCGCCGCCGGTGTCTCTGGCGCAGCAGAAGGCGTGGGAGTTGGGGCAGGAGCAGGAGCAGGAGCAGCGGCGCCAGGTCTCCGTCGTGCGGCTTTAGGTGCAAATTTCTTGCCTGTCGTGTTTTCTGACCGCGGCTCAGCATAGATAGCGGGCAGACTTGGGACGACTCACTATTGATGAAGGAACTGAAAGTCGCCGCCGCCGGTTTTGGCGCAGGTGCAGACGCAGGCGCTTTGTCGCCGCCTGAAGCGTCCTCGGCAGACATGGTGTATGTGTGTATGAAGGCAGCGTATGGCTGCTGTCCACTCTTTCTCACATTGGTGGGGATTGTACAGGACGGAACATGGTCGCGTCGTGGAAACACAGACCAGGTGCTAGCGCGACACTAGCTCTTGGCAGCCCAGCCAGCAGCTAACGAACTCTCTTCGCTCGACTCTCCTCACCCACCCTCTCTCTGGCCTCACACGACACCCGACCTCCTCCCGTTTCTCTTCGCCCGCCCGCCCCCCTGCCTGTCCTCCATCCGCTCTAACATCTCCTTTCATGACCCGATAGAGCGCGCGCGTCTTCGCTGCCCTATCTACGACACCCGTGTCTCCTCGATGAGGCTCGAAGCCAGGACCGTCGCACCCCCATCGCTTGACGCTGTCAAGATGGAGGACCGAAAACGGCCCATCGCCGACGATCAAGCTCCTCCCGCTAAGAGGCAAGCCGTGACTGTCAACGGTGCTCGCTCCCACCCAGACGCTGACTTGCCGTGGAAAGATGACATCGAGGTTCGCCCCCCGATTACCTCCCGCCCTCCTCCTACGCCCTCGGCGCACACTCCCGCTGACTCTTCGAATCTACAGTCTTTCCAGAAGGATGCCATTCTGAGGCAGATGCGCGAGTTCAAACGCGAAAAGGCCACCGTCGAGTCACAACTAAACGAGTTGGAGGGCCGTTCCAAGTACCACGATGACCACCTACGCATAATCGACGCTTGGTTTGATCAGGTCAGTACACCCCTGGAATTTGATTGAGATGATGCTAATTGCTGCTTAGCTTATCGATGAAATCAAACTCCTGGGCGGTGATAAACTGCCTGCATCATCAGCTCAGGCCGATGCTATCCAGGCTGTGCCCGCTGCGCTCTTATGCCAGGACAATCAGACTTTTAAGAAACACCTGTCTGATCGCAAAGACAAGATACTTGCATCGCTTACCGACCTCTTTGCGAGATATCCCGCAAGCAGTCCCGAGGTTGCGACTCTCCAACAGAAGCTGTCAGAACTCTTGGTCACCGAGAAGGATCACGTTGTGCGCCTGCAACGCGTCACTACCGAGAAAGAGCAATTATCTGACCGCCTGGATACCGCTACTCATCGTTATCTGGTTGCTGAGAAGAAGCTCGACCGGCTTAAGAGCGCCCAGGTTCAGAAACTCGAGCAATCAGCGGTCGGCACTAGTGCGGCTGTGAAAGAGGAGGCACCATCTGCCAGCAATGGAACAGAAGCCAGCAATGGTACCTCGCCAGGCCCCATCAGTGAAGAGTTGGAAACAGCGAAAAAACAGGCTCTAGCTGAGGCAGCCAAAAGGAAAGAGCAACTTGAACAGATCGAGCAGGAGAACAAAAAGCTCACCGAGGAGGTTTCAGCACTGAAAGTGAAGCTTACCGGCCTGTCGGACGATGATTATGCGAAGACCGATCTTTTCAAAGCTATCAAGAACCAGCATGAAGACGTGATCAAGCGCATCAATAATCTTGAAGCCACCAACATCACCTTGCGGGAAGAAGCGCAGAAATTCCAGGCAGAGCGAACGGCGTACAGGATCAAAGTGGATGACGAGGTTCGTGCTAGTCTGGCAGACAGTGCAAGCCACGTTTCGCAAGCGGAAGCGAATTGTGCTCGCATTCGAAACGCCCGGGATGAACTTGTGACCAAGAACAACGTCTTGGAAGCCAGCCACAAAGATTCCAAGGAATCCATTGAGCAATCCAAACAGCTCGTGAGCGCATGCGATAGCCGCATCGCGGCGCTGGAATCCGAATGCGAGCGACTGCGACTACAGATTGCGGAACAGCAAAGCTCAGAAGGCCAGGAATCCTCTGGACTGGAAGACTTGACACCGGAGCAGTTGCGTAACAAGATCGCCAAGCTCGAAAGCCAATGCAAGATTTTGGGCAACGAGCTTCCCTCTATGGAGTCCGCATGGAAAAAGGCGCAGGCGATTGCAAGCAAGAAGATCACCGAGATCGCTGCTTGGGAAGAAAACATTGCCAAGGCACATGCAGACAAAGCCAAAGCGGACCAGAAGTTCTTTGCGGCCATGAAGACCAAAGGAGAATTGGAACAGCAGACTCGCATCCTCCGCGCCCAGGCTACCAAAGCCACTGAAGTAGTGGCGCAGCTGAAAGAGGCGGATTCACTCAGCCGGTCACTGGTGGACAAACTAGAGAAGCAGTGTGCCGAAATGCGATCCCAAATGGACGATCTTTCTACCCAGCACCGCCAACTGCAACAGAAGGTCAGCGAGAACGCCATCACTTCTGAAGGTCACGTCAGCCAGATAGCAGAACTCAAAAAGGTTGTCGAAGCCAAGGATGCGACATGCCTTGCGGCAAAACACGCTCAACGCGAATCGGAAACCGAGCGGGACAAGCTGGCTGCTCAAGTCACTGGACTGGAGAAGCAAGTGCAGATTTACAAGAAGAAGAGCACCGCTAACCAGAGTTCTGAAGTGTCGACTATGGAGCTGTTGATTCAGTGTCAGATTTGCAAGAGCAAACTTAAGAACACGGTCATCAAGACTTGCGGGCACATGTTCTGCGACCAATGCGTACAAGATCGACTGACCAACCGCGCGAGGAAGTGCCCGAATTGCGGCAAGGCGTTTGGCAGCAATGACACGATGCGTGTGCATCTATGAGAACTTTTCAAGCCGGATACCCTTTTTCATATTCTCTGCATTTTGCCCCCATGTACATCACCTGCGTTTCCTTGCGCCATCCTTTTTTACAAGTTCACAATATAGTTGAAGGCAAATTTTGAAGTTAAGCACGGAACCGAGTTTGGGATACGTTGGTGTTTTGCGGACGGCTTTCAGCCTATTTCATGGCGTTGGTATTCGGCAGCGCAAGAGCGCGAGACAATGTACGATCATAGTTGCGGAGCATGTTCGGACGACATGTGTTAGCGTGTTTTACTAGATTCACGGAGTTTGTCTGTCGGTTGGCTGGTGATATTTTCCATGGATGGGGTTAGATGGCTTCCATGGGCCTCGCGGAGCTCGGTCGCTGGAGCGGCCAAATGAGAGAATGCAAATCCAGATACCATGTACTGTTTGGCCATATAGTGACCCGATATAACCTTTGACTCACACATGGCAATGGGCGGCCACCTTGGACCGGTACACTAGCGAGAACGTTAAGTGACAGCCAACCATGTTTGAGCCGTCATTTCAAAGTGGAAGGTAAGACCAGGTGCAGGGTCTGTCAGAGTAGGGGTGCAGCCCTGGGCCATGACGTTCGCAACGCGTTCCTCGCCGTTGCCCCACGCGACAGGCTACTATAAACACCCTTGAACATGACTACTGTGACCACCACGACGACATATATCAAGCCCCGTCCAGACCTTACTCTTCAACGCAAACTACAACATCTCCAACCTTTCAGTACATCCTAAAGACGATTGAATCTGAAAACTTTTGACCAACATACACGCCTTCTACAACCACGACCACCCCACAATAATGGCCTCCAAAGTCCTTACTCCTCGCGACACCAACGCGCAAGTCAAGCCCGTGCCTTCACCAGAGAAGGGATTGGAGAAGAAGGATGCCAAAAGCCTCGACTACCACCGCCGAGTTCTGCAGTCGCGTCTTGACAGCGAGCCGTGAGTTTCCTTGTACATGCAGCACCACACTTTGCATTATTGACCATGTATCAGAGAGCAAAAGTTTGTTTCGCCGTCGGACGAAATCATGAGTCCTGCTACACAGAAGTTGCAAGCTTTCAAGACCAAACATGCCATGAAGAAGTAAGTTACTTTGTGACTGTATACAAAAAAGAATGTAGACTAATGTGAGCATAGGTCGAAGCCACAGACGCTGTTTAAGAAGACAAGCTCGAAGAACTTGGAGTCAAACAAGGGTAGCGGCACATTGATGTTCGCTGATATCCCCAAGAAGGATGCGAAGGAGGAGGGCGCATAGGCATGACGTTACCATCACGCTTGCCTAGAAGGTGGAGCATTGGTTTTATTCTTTGGCGCAACGGCTTCACGTATACCCCCTTCTATGGCTTTGATGGGCTGGTCTTTCTGGAGTTCTGGATGCGGGTAAATGACTACGATTATCATGACTATATTTTGATGCTACGAAATGGAATGGAACAACAATGAGATATATGCCTGCTTTCAGACTAGACTCGATGCATGTGTAAAGACTATGCATGCGCCCAAATGGATACTCGTCTATGTTCGGAAATGTCGCCGAGCCGCAGTTTGTACCCTACAGTAGCTGCATCTTCGCTCCGACTCACACGATGACACAACCGTCTCCAGATGAGAAAGCTCTCCAGGAGGAGATTGAAGATCTTGAAAGACGTTTACACAATGCGAAAGCCCGACTGAATCCAGACAATGTCGCAGCGACATCTTCATCGCCCGCCAATGACGCAGGTGCGTTATCGCGGCACACCTGCCACCACAGCTGTTAACATGCGCAGCACTGCACGCTCTTCTTCTGCTCGCAGACTCTGCCCTGCCACTCGGCTCCTTCGCCTTTAGCAGCGGACTAGAGTCGTACCTCGCCCATCACAGGCCGTCGCCGCCGTCGGCGTCACAGCTACCCGCGTTCCACACTTTCCTCCGCTTATCGCTTTCGACCCTCGCAAGCACATCGCTTCCCTACGTCCTGGCCGGCTACCGCCACCCAGAGGACATTGAGACGTTGGACAATGACTTCGACGCGAGCACACCGTGCACTGTTGCGCGACGGGCGAGCATAGCACAGGGGCGCGCGTTACTTGCAGTTTGGGACCGTAGCTTTCGGACGCAGTACAACACGCCCAAGGACCACGCGTCTCAAGATGCTATGCATGGAACAATGAGTAGCGAGGCGGCTATCAGCGCGCTCAAGTCGTTTTCTGCTGCCCTGCGTACTTCGGAACTCATCAACGTGCATCTCGCGCCGCTTTGGGGACTTGTTACGAGCATTCTAGCCGTTCCGCTGCAACAAGCCGCCTACTTGTTCCTCTTCTCACATGCGCGGACTGTAGTGAGTGCCGCTGTGAGGGCGAGCGTCATGGGCCCTTACCAAGCCCAAGCGGTACTGGCAAGCGCCGAGCTACAGGATAGGATACGTGGGCTGGTCGATGAGGGGTGGGACAAGACAGTCCAAGATGCGGGGCAGAGTGTGCCAGTCATGGATCTTTGGGTTGGAAGACATGAGAAGCTGTATTCTAGGATCTTCAACTCATAAAGACCTGTCGAGATGGTGTTGAGCTAAATGTTGATTCCAGCCACTCGTGGTCCAATCATCACCGCGTGCGCCCTCGATTCGCGCATGAAGAGTTCAGCTTACGGCGCGTGACGGCCGCGCTCCATCGGCATGACAAGGCAACAACGACAAGAAAAACCCCTTGATATGTTTGCCGTCCACAATGCATCATCGTCATACTGCTTAATGATACCGTCGTAGGGACTCGCATCCTACCTTCTACTCAAACTATATACTTTCCTAGTGCTGGCACCATGTTTATTCTTAACTTCAACAAGTGGCTCTTAGTTACCATCTTTCCCGACTTCTCCAATAGTGCAGTACAATCTCGTGTTAACGAGGCTGTCCTCAAATTCCCATGGATCCAACGCTTCGCCTCAGTAGGCGACTCCTACTCCGCCGGTCTCGGGTCAGGAGACCGTCTCGATTGGCTATGCTCGCGATACGCACAATCATATCCAAACATCCTTCAAACCTCTCTCCTCGGTGATAACCCTAACCGAACACACCAGTTCCTCGCTTGCTCTGGCGCTACAAGCACCGAGATCCTCGAAAAGCAGATTCCTGCTTTGCAGGATAACCTAGACTTGCTCACTATGTCCGCCGGCGGAAACGATATCGGGCTAACACCTTTACTGAGTAACTGCGTATACCAGTTCTACATGTCAGCCGAAGACTCGTGCCGACAAGCCATTGACGAAGCGCGCACGAAGATCGCGAATGAAACGGAACTCTATCACAACGTGACACTGCTCATTGAAGCTGCGAAGCCGAAGATGAATCTAGAACATGGCATTATCTATTACACAGGCTACGCAGGCTTTTTCGGAACTGACGACGAAACATGCGACAACGTAACCTGGGCCGTCTGGAAAGACGTGGAATGGACGAAACAATATCTCAAGCGCGAATTGAGACTGGAACTGAACGATATGGTCCACAACGTCAATACCATACTATCCAAAGCCGTAAGAGATGCTGGCACAAATGTCCGTTTCATCGACTATAACGCGCACATCTCTGCAGCACGCGGTCGGTACTGCGAAAAAGACGTCCTAGAACCTGACCCCAATCGCCTCGGTTTGGCATTCTACGAGTGGAACACCGTCGATACAGGCGAGAATAAGACTGCACTACAGAACCGCACTGGCGACGATGTACCTAAACACTCATTCCAGGGTGGTATCGCGAGGGATATCAATAAGACGCTCGAGCAGCATCCTGACTGGACATTTGATCCTGACAAGGGATTTGTGAACAAGACGAAAGGAGGAAAAGACGGAGGAATAGAAGGAGAAGGATGGTTGGGCGATTCGATCCATTGGTTGTTGCCAGATAGTTACAAGAGAGTTTTCCATCTGAGACCAAAGGGACATGCTATAGTGGCGAGGTTGGTGGTTGAGGATTTGGAGAGGCATGGGCCGCGGCCTCACGAGGAAGAGGTGGAGGAACTCTAAATCTCATCTTTCTGGGACTTCAGCACCAGCAAGCCATTCGAAAGCCTCCTCATCGCCTAGCAGTCCGTCCCACTCCCAGTCTTCATTCCCTTCCGGGTCCCTTTCTGCCATCTTTTTGTCAATTTCCACAATCCTATCTCTTACATTCATCAAACACCTCCCTAACAGATTCTCTCCCCCAAGAATCTCTGTACGTTTCTGCTTCATCTGATCTGTACCCGATCCCCCAGATACGATCTCTCCGAGCCGCTTCTGCTATTTCTCTTCCTTGTGTCCCTAGCAAGACACTCCTCATATGCTTATTCTTAGTATCCGTATACTTGTACCAATTCCCCACTCTAGCAACCCTACGTTTCACTCTTCCCCATCCATTGAGATCGAAGTTCTTGACCTTCTGACCATGCTTCTTTTGTTCTTTAGGGTCTGAAGTCAAGAGGATAGGACGGGCAGTGTTGGCGTCTGAGAAATAGACGGCTTTGCAGAACATGTAGGATTGCTCGGCGCAAGTAAATAATATGGTTGAGTTTGATACTGTGTAAGCAGAGAGGATAGTGGAGGATTCTGTAGACGTTGTTCGTATAGAGGTTGTGAAATTTGGAATCGACGAAGACGCAGTTCGAGGTGTTGGTGGTGAAGGCGCCATGTCAACGAGCCACTGCAGTGAGGTGATGGGTATGCTGAACGGGCTGGTATGCCATTGACAAAAAACACCGTGCGGCTTTTCCTTAGAATGGGTAAGCGCAAACCCCACCCTTCAGGTCGACCGCCAAAGAAGAGTGTAGCTGCAAGAGGAGAAGAAGAGCAAGGAACGATATTCTTCTACATGCCTATCTGCTGAGTATGTATTCGTGTTGCTTGGTGAACATAAAATAGAGGTGTCTTTGTTTCTGGAAGATAGGTGGTAGAGGATATGGCGATGAGTCTTAATAATGCATGAGCTAGTAGTACCATGGTTTGGAAAGGGCGCAGGGGCGACCTACCTTGCTTTGATCTGTCTGGGAATTTTATGAAGAAAATGTTTTAACTAGGGGCTACGTAGTAGATTTTTCTAAGCAGCGCGGACGAGATTATAGTCATTGTCTTGTTGAACGCTATGTCGTTCGATCCATAGCTTTTTATGACAAATGCGACATCTGCGTTCAGTCTCATGTCAAGATACGAATCTATACATACTTTTGACTGTTTCTATAGATCGTATTCCTGTTCACATAAACTAAATGTAGACAAGCCTTATTTACAGTGTGTAATTCACAGTTCAACTTTTCTTCCTGAGATCCTCACCAATCTTCCTAAACAGTCTCGCAAAACTCCCTCGGGTCTCCCAGATTGGCAACAGACAACTAATCGCACTACTGGCAAATACCCAAATAAAGCTTATTACCACCCATGCAGTGAAAAAGCCCTGAGAGAAGATGTAGTGCGAGAAGAACATGGGCATGGGGAGAAGGAAGTCCAAGATGAAGGTCAACAGGAATGCGGAGATACAGGCGAGCTTGAAAGCGCGACGGAGTGTGGAAGGGTCGTCTTTCTCCTCTAGTGGGGGAGCTAGATGATGTGGAAGCTCTGCTGCGGCTGCTTCGGGTTGTGTGGTGGCATCGGCTGCAATCTTCTTTTCGCCAGCATCAGAGAGTTCAGGTGTGGAAGCATCTCTCGGCGTTGCAGTGTTATCTACTCCATCAGTAACGACGGCGTTGATAGCACGAGTGATTTCCCAGTCGAAATTGTCCGGCTTGATCAAAGTGATTGTGGTTGTTACAATGAGTCCGGTCATGATGGCTGCCAGATTGCCTGCGAGCGTTGGATATGACATGCCAGTAGTCTCTACAGTGATCTCGCCGTAATAACTCTTTGCAGTCGCTAGCCATGCAGTGAGACCTGCGGCAAGACCAGAGAGACAACCAGATATAGCGGCAACTTTGCTTTGTTTTCGCCATGTTATGGCGAAGGCGGTCGGGAACACAGCGCCACCGATTAGCAAACCCATAACGCTTCAACATGTTAGTAAAGATGATATAGTAGCCATGAGATAGGGGAAAACGTACAGGAAAAGCCATCCAAGATCGATCGATGCCGCATTCCAGATGCAGGCGAACACAGACATGATCAATCCGAAAACGCATATCATAATGTGCGAAACGAAGACCAACTGCTTTGGTGAAGCTTTGGGTGAAACGTATTCCTTGTAAACGTCGAATGTCAGCAACGAAGAAACGGCGATGAGTTCTGCAGACGCGCATGACGTGACTGCCATGAAGAGAACCACCAGCAGTGCAACAGCACCTCCCTGTCCCATCAATGTCTCCGCAGCGAAGGCCGCCGCTAGACCGGATGAGATTTGGCCAGAGGTAGGTACCTCTGGGTAAGTGGGAAAGCGTGGGTTATCGGTGAGCGCCACAGCTGCAAGACCAAGCGTTGTCGAAAAGCCGAATGGGATAGCGAACCAGGCAATCCCTCCTAGGAGATACGCCCGTACGGCAGTAGAAGGTTTGGAGGCGATCGCACGCTGCCAGTAAGCTTGATCAAGGAAAACGGTTCCAGATCCAGAGCATAATTGGATGACACCGAATATTAAGCCAAAGTTCGACTTCAAAGTGACGTATGAGCCGTCCTGATTCCCACTGACTGGGCGTTGGGTCCCAGCTTTTTTGAGCAGCTCGTACATCTCGCTGGGTGAGCCGATTAGAGGGCTGATAGCGTATGCGTTGAACATAAAATAGAGGATGATGATCATAAGGATCAAGGTGTGGCTGTAGTCGCAGATAAAAGTCGCTCGCAGACCACCGAGGATAACGTAGGCACAGACACCTGTCTCTATTAGCACATCTCCGGAGTAGACTTCTTAGACATTACTCACCAACTGGAATCAAGAATACAGCAGCATACACCGGCATGCCCGTCAAGCTAGTGACGACTGCACTTCCGCCCAACAAGAGCTGGCTGCCCACCAAAATGTTCGTCACAAACGCGAAGACCATAAACACTAGATGTGCAACTGTCCCGTATCTCGCTTTTACGATTTCAAGGTATGTATGACATCTCGGCGCGTTCTGCTTGACCTTGCAAGCCAGGATCGAGAACATGAGAATCTGAACTGTAGCCCCAGCAGCGTACCTGCAGATTTGAAGATACGAAGTCAGTGTATGTCTCACATACATTTCGTATAGGCAAAACTTACCAGAACGGCCCTGCGACACCATATTGGTATGCTACGGTAGAGGATTGGAGCAGAGTGGCAGCCCATGTCCATGCAGAAACGATACCAGAAGCGATGAGACCGGGTTTGACTGAGCGCGACGCAGTGTTGAACTCTTCGGATGATTGTGTTGAGTAGCGTGTGTATCTATTTTGGAGCCACGAGATTCCCATCATGAGAAAAGCGAAGAAGAAGCCGATGCCAACGACGACGCCTGGAAGGTTCAGCTGTGATCATTGGGTGAAATTGTAGGGAACGTACCATAGCCGGCTCCCACTGGGAGAGGTATCTTGGTCGTGTCTGCCATTGTGAAGGCTTCAACAAGTGGATGTAGAGGCTGGAAAACTCCTCAGGTTCTCTGTTTCCAGGAAAGCGATTATATTAACATATTCCCTACAGCCATACCGACTCCAAATACCGACCAGGGTCTGTAGAGATACTGCCATTATACTCGAGGAGCAGTTCGCCGCCTACGGCGTTTCCGCGGCGATAGTACAACATGATGCTCAACCTCGATTGGTGTGATAGGCAAAACGGGTTGCAAAATAGTAGTTGCAGCGACGATCCAACGGCACGACATGGGCGCCTCGTGTGATAAGCCAGAATCGAGAAATCTCCGCATGTACGAGACCATGACGGATAGTCTGTCCAGTTAGATTACCTAGCTGTGCGGCGTACTTGGGCTGCGTGAAACGCTCCCAACGCGACGACGTCTCCGATAACTGTTCGTCAAGTCGAGATAAGAAACATGCTAGCAGTAGGCCTGCCGCTGAGATGCTTGTTGCTAAGGCCGTGATGTCATGTTTGAGGTAGGGATGCAGCTGCCGAAAGCGGCACGTCGAGCAATTGATAAACCCCCTGTTCGGTTAGCAATCTACCCCGCGAACGACGAATCGCTGGGGTGAAAGTTGGAGCTACCTAACAGCTCCAATTGGAGTCAGATAAGTAGATTTGGAGAGCGTGAACTTAATATTTCCAGGCGATGTCAATGAATAGTGGTGTAAATCTGTATCCCGTTACTTCGGTACATGTGACAGTATTCAGCATTTCGACGTCGTTGGTTAGTCCCATAATGAATAGCTTCAGCTCCTCATGTCTCGTCCATATCTCGAACGCACCGTTCCTGCAGCCACTGTAGCGCTCTTAGGAAGCTTCAATGCCGTCAAGCTCACTGACAGCCTGCTGGAACGCTGCCGCTGCTACAAGCCAGATGCCTTTGTCACCAGAACCGAACCGGGATTGCATGACCTCTTGACTCCCTTGGGAAGACCCCCGAAAATCGTCGCGTAGTTGTATAGTATATGCATTCTACCCAGGACAAGAACGCCCGACTCGAGGCGACGCACATTGAATCCGACTACCCGTTCTTACTATGCGGACTTCTGCTGCCTGTCTTTCTCCGAGTCATGGTTACACCTGATATCTCCCACACCCCGAACCGGCCACGCTGTCCTCTGACCTATACTCTTCTTCCTCGTAAAGGTGGATCGTTTGATCTTACGGAGAACATTATCTTTATTGGAAGCAATAGCCCAGTGGTGCAATATTGCAGTGCTAACTAGACCACTAGAACGTTTCGTGAGATCCGAGACGAGCGCTTGGGCTCAGACCAATGAAATCAAGACGAACAGGAAGAATGCATGTGAGTGAGAGTTTATCAGTCTGCAGGTGAGGCTGAGACATGTGTCAAGATATCGGCTTTGAGTCATGGTGTGCTACCATGACTTCTTGTTCGTATGGTTGAGAGAAAACAGCTTCAGCTATTAGGCTCATATTCGAGAGAGCCGGCACATTTGAGTTTCCGTACGTAGATATTGGAGGACGTTGTACACGCCAGGCTGAAGATATGTAGGTTGCTAGGACAACACGGCGTTTATTTAGGGCTGACCTAATTGTAAAGTAAGAACGGTTAGAAAGT